ACTTCTACCACGTTTTTGATGATGTAAAATTTAAGACGTTTTGAGGAAATTTTGATTTTTCCAAAAAATCGACCCTCACCCTTGGAAAAATTTCAACCAAAAATCAAAATTTTACATGCCGGGTTTTTTTAGCTCAATCGATTCCTTTTGACGCAAATAGATCACAAATTTACATTTATAAAGTGTTTGAGTCAATAATAAAGAAAAAAATCGTCGACTAAAGCTGGGAAACGCACAAAAACCGCTTAAAATGTGCCCAAAATTTATATTATTTTCTTATTATAAACTTCTACTACATTTTTTTTTCTCTTCGTAAATAGGGGGCTCATTGCCTTTGTAACTAAAATATCCCATTTGTATTCATTAACATGTTTCCAGCAATATCTAGTTGTAAACAGCCTCAAACTTACAGAAGAGCACACATTTTCGGCTAAGGAAAATAATTAAATAAACAACTTTATATTAATAGAGTTAATTTATTCAACGCTCTATGTACAGAGAAAAATTGCATTTAACATAATTATCAGACTTTATACAATATGGTTGTTGCAAATTGTAATGCAATAAGGTATAATTGATTTACAGAATTATCCGGTTACAAGTACGCTGCTGAATAAGCACAGTTAAAACATTGCAGAAAACCTATTAAATATAAAAATATAAAAGGTAACAATTAATAGCTTAGACTACAAATATATGCCACATCGTTTCTAGTTTAACGTCTATTACAGTTTTGCTTTCTTCGGTAAACAATCAAATCTTCTAGAGTTTTGATGACTCAAATTTCCTTAAACTCATGTCCAATATTTACAATTTAATCAACGAGCATCAGCAACAAGCTGCCAGTTTCTAAAGGTAGTTTTTACACAAAATTTCACTCGAAAACCTAAATTATTTGCCGCTATAATGACTTCCAATGTGTGAAGGAGGACCCCGACTTTTCGTGTTGTATCCCCTGCTTCCAGGTCGGGAATGGACGATGGCATAATGATCGCTATGGGAAGAAATCGACCTAGCTGAGTTCAGTGTTGAGCCCCCAGATGTGTAGCCTTTGGGGTGCTGAGGGGCTCCATTTAGCGAATATCTATAAAGAAAAACAATGCAGAAAATGGTTGGCAACTGGCAAAGGTTCATCAGTCAGCATGAGGATTAGTTAACACCATAGGGAATGTAAATTATCAAGGATTAAGAAAGAATCTGATTGAAGCTTTAAAGGGGGGTTACTGATGGAAATTTGTTGAGGTTTACTGAAATTTTGCTCACTGCTGGTTCAAAAGAGATTTGTTCGCAACCTGGACCAACGGCCAAGGGCTATTCGTTTTTTATTTATGATTTACTTTGGTTATTTCTTTCAACTCTTTGTTAAACTATGAGGGATTATTTGGATGATTACTCTCAAAAATTTCAAGAGGTACAAGTTGGGAAATAATAAAAAAATTGGCCTGAAATCCATTGTTCCTACTGGCCATTTCCACTAACAAATTTCGCTGGAAGCGTGCACTGAATTCCTACCGAAAATCTAGCAGAAAAGTGAAATTAGTCCCATTAAAACAACGCGATTTTTAATGGGTTAAATGTAGATTTCCTGGTTTTTTCTGAAGAATGCAAGCTAACTACTGAGCACCTATCTAACATGCTCGCACTTCCCGTTATTGCAAAAAATAGATGGTGACCATAGAATAATTCCAGGCGAAGTGCAAACACTTTGGAAATGTTAAGCTTCAAAGTCAGTATCGAATTAGAGGGTATAGTTACTGATTGCCTACCGGTTTTGACTCCTAGGGAGTCATCCTCAGGCTGGCCCTGTAAAGCAAACAATTCCTGTTCAAGTCTCATTTCATTGTCTAAGAGAATTTGACTTGGTCTTAGTCTAGGGGATTAACCAAAGGGGTTGAGTAAAGCGGAATTTACCTGGAACCATACTGGCTTCCATGCCAACTGCGGTATGGGTCGTAATCTTCAATTATACTCGGCTCTTTTTCGATTATCTCAGTTCGGGCGCAGGCACAAGTCATGGCGGAGCATAGGAAAATATTGATGATCAACATGATCAAGAACAAAACCCCGAATGCCACGCAAAGCCACAATAACCAGCTTGGATGGACTCCGCCTGTTTCATCGCACAATTCCTGAGCTAGAGGAGCTTCACCTACGAATGATCAAAACAGAGTTATTCTGCTGAATGGGTCTTTTGAGGAAAATCACTAGCGGGAAACTCTTGCACTTGTTCAGCGGGGGCGGCAGTATTTCGCAAGTGATTTTCCTCACAATCTCCGTATATACATTTTCTGTTGAGCGCTCAGAAGCAATGTGATTTTTTAAGGTTTAAATAAGCCCGAACAGGGTCAGAAGAAGCTCAAAGCTGAAACCGCCCGGACTAGCAAATCAGAATATATCAATTCGTTTCACGTTTCACAGGCTTCAGAGC